AGGAATGGATGCTTTCAGTAATGCGCCCTCGTTCAGGCTGCATGACCAGTGATTTCATGGTATCCTGAGGAGTTGGGGGACATCACGTTGTAAAGAAATGGGAAGACTCCTCAGGGCACAGACTTCAGCCTGTGTAGTCCTTACTAATCCTTCCACTACTGTAACCATCTAATTTTTATTTTCCTTATTTATATATTTGATTATTCGTATCCACTGTTGAATATGAATTTATAAATCACTTTAAATGCCTCTTGAATATCAAGTGCTTGACTAGAAAGCATAAAGAAACTTTTCGACCTTCTAACTTAATATAATCAAGGGTAAAATGATGTTATGTGGGAAGGAAAGCGTTTTAGCTTCCTGGACTTTGTTACCATGCTAGGCCGACCCGTGGCTTCATAAAGTTCTTGAATATCACAGCGTTTTAGGGATTTCTGCTACAACCAATATTGTAAGTCTGTTTAGAAATTACAAGTACAAATTATACAAATAGTTTTTTATTGTTGTTGTTTGTTTTTGCATTTATATAGCGCCTTTCCTTCGAGGAGCTCAAGGCATTTTTCAAAATCTGACAGTTTTTCTCACAACAACCCTGTGAGGTAGGTAGAGAGCATTACAAACAGTAATAAGATACAAACTAACCTGTTTCAGCCTTTATAAATGTTCTTTTATGTTAAGTAATTGGAGGTGTCAGCATAAACACGATTTTTAGAACATTTTGCAAACCCTTTAAAATAGTTTGCTCTTAGTAATAGCTATATTTAAAAAACCACTTGTACTCCATAAGAGGGTAATTTTAAGAGAAATCATTCATCCAAAAATCAGGAGTCACTCCATGGGATTAGCTGAGCACTGATTGCAGGACTCAGCCAGGTATGTTTCTGGTTGCTGTTTATTTTCAGGTCAAGAAGGAATGAAGAGCTGTGGTCCTAGCATGACTCCTCCACTCGGCATCTACGAACTGTCAGTTCGCAGTTAATCTTTCTTCAAGGGGGAAATGTGTTCACGATGTTGACTCATGGTTTTATTTTATATCTTAAATATTTGAGCATTTTTCTCTCTCTTCCTCCCTCCTTCCCTTGCTCCCTTTTTTCTGTCCCCCCTCCTCTTTCCCCTCCCTCCAGTAGCTCTTGGTTGTACATGCTAATGGAAGGGCACGGTAGTGCAGCTAATACAAATCTGCAACTTTTCTTCATTGCCACAGTGGTCTCTTGGGTTTGGAAACAGAAAAACCAAATAGCAAGAAAACCTGGGAAGTCAGTCTCTGGAAAGAGTGGGGAACAGGTGTGTGGGAGTGTGAATTCATATGTTTTTTTCTGCCCCTTTTAGTAGTAAATAATTGTAAATGACATATTTTTAAATTTCTTATACCAGCCATTGATCAGAGAGGTGTGGAAAGAGAAAAATAAATGTTTGGTTTATTTAAAGTTGCAAATGTTAAATATTAAGAGGGAAGAGGGGCACGTTGATGTGGAAATGCCGAATACCGGTCTCTCTTGCCTCGCCTGCCATCCCAGCCCACCCCAACCCACCCCCAAATAGTTTGTTTCCACCCCTTTCATGGTGCTGTCAGGGTACCAGTCAGCGCTGTCTCTGGCCGAGCTCAGTGCTGGCACTCAGCGGTAAATACAAGTCAGACCCTGTTCTCATGACAGAGCGACACAAGAGGGCCCTCGTGGTTCAGATAAGAGCGGAGCTGAGAAGGGCCTGGGTAACAGTCCCAGTCCTTCCAGCAGTTATAGCCCTCATTGGGCCTTATTTTCCTCATTTATGGAACAAGAGATAAGTTTTAGATAATCTAAATTTTCTCCTAGCTTTAGGAGCCATGGCGTAAGGATAGCTTTGTGCAATTCGTATGGGAGATTTAGAGTGATTGTGGTTAAGGAGAGGACAGAGCGTATTTTTCTATTCAGTAATAGAAAATTACTTTAATTTTTTCTAAGGTCCTCAGGGCCTTTTGCTCTGGCCCTAATAGTTGTAACAATCTTACGTTATTAAATAATTTTTATTTCCCCGCAGTTTTTGTTACAATGGGATTTGACTGGAACTGTCAGCCAGGTGATTTTGATGTTCTTCTATAGGGTTATGGAAAACAACTGTCTCTTCCCCTTCCCATCTGCACCCAGAACCATTTTCTTCCTCCTTTGCCTCACTATCATTTCACGCCTATAGCAGCCAACTGTGACAGTAAGTTTTGACAGTACATTACATTTTAAGCAAAGTAGAGGTTCTTGCTTAGCGGGCAACAAGGGACAGTTTGGGGGATTTGTGTTTGAGGCAGTAGAAGGCAGGAAAGCAGAAGTAAAAGTCACAGGATATGTGGAAGGCAGAATATTATTAACTCAAGAGCTGATTATTTTGTGTTGGTTTTAGCATATAAATTGTTTGGCATCATGAACAAAGAGTAAACAGAAGGATAGCTGAAAGGTATTTTTAGATAGGGAGGAAGTTTCAGGAAGCGGAGAGCACACGTAAAACCTGTCAGGAATAGCCAGTGTCCATTCCAGGTCTGTCACTTACTTTCTGCCATGTTCTTAAGATCTTCAGGTGAACTTCGTCCTGACTCTTGCTCTCTAATGTGTCGAGCCATGCATTTACTTTACAAGTGGCACCATTGGTCAAGTCCCCCGTTGAACATGTAAAGATTGCTTGGCTCCTGTCGTTTGCAGCCCCATCCATCACTTAACATCATGGATTATTCATCGTATTTGCTCAAAGTGAACTACTGCTTTTCTGTTTACAGCGTAAAACTCCGGTTGTCTGTTTCCCATCACTTTGTATTGCCTGGAGTGGTGTGCCTTAGCTAACAGCTGCTTGGTGGTCTTATCTGTCCTTCATTTGCAAATAACCCCGTGGTGTAGGGTTGCAGCCAAGAAGGATTTAGACTGAAGGTTTCTTAGTGACAAAATCACTTAATGATGGCTGCAAGTAAGTGGTTTAATATTATAACTGTGGAAGTTTGGACAGCTCTGCAGATCCTTATGGTAGTGGCTCTCTGATACCATGGTCTGACAGCCTGTCTGTGAGGGCTGGTGTGCTAACGGATTGAAATGGGAAATAAAACAGGGCACTCACTGTCCGTTTCTTCATATGACGTCTCTAGAACTCCCTCAGATTGTTGTCCTTAGCAGTTTTAAGAGCTTTTACTGAAACTGGAGCCTGCAGCTAGTAAGTTCCTGGAGGTGTCAGCATGCTCACACGTCTGAAGGCCTCTAGAGATCCTGCCTAGCAAATTGTGTTACTGTCCTGTTCCTCATGTCTCCCCGCTTCCTCGTTTTAGACTCCTTCACTGTCGCTCGCCAGCTGACTCCCTCGGCTCCTGTCATCTCTGAATCGAGCCTAAGACCCTCTGCTTAGAATTTCTCTCACTTTGTCTTCCTTCTTTCGATTCCTTCCTGCCTATAGTAATATTCTGCTTTTTCTTTAGAAATCTAAATTCACCACTTGCCTCATTGCCCAAATCAAAGTCAACTCCAAACCGCCCCCTTCCCAAACAAACCTCACACCTCAGTTACAATTTCTGTACTTTAAAGTGCTGCAGCAGTGTTGTTTGTACCACATGAACATGCACTTGCATATTGATGCCTTGCTTATCTGTTTGATGCATGAATATGGCTTTCGGTCCCAGCAAAATTTTACCTTCAAGAACAGTAGCCATGTCTTCTAGCTTATATTTTCCACCATAGCACATGTGTACACAGCACCTAATAAATAAGCCTTGGTGAAATATTGTGGCTTAAAATCTCACTGAAATGTGTTGAATACATTTGTGATAGCTTATTTGGAAAACAAAATACTGCTTGAATGCTTCCCTCGCTGGAGTCTATGCTAGATGTTATCTCGGTTTAGAATTCTCAGGTGTCTGCGATGTGCAGTTTTAGATGCTAGAGCAAGATTCATAGTTCAAATAGTTTTTCTCCTGAGGCACTAATATTTTTTTCTTAATGTGTTTTATTTGAAGAACAGTCTGTAATTCCTTGTTTTGTTGGATGTTAATTTTTAAAAAAAACCTAACCTTATTTTGGAAAGTAGACCAAATGAAATCGACATGAGAAGAAATTTTGGAATTAAGATCCAAGTACCTTTAATCATATTACATGTTTTATTGAGAACAAAGCTTTAAAATGAGTACAGCTTAAGTTTTACTTGGGCCATGATTGTATCATGTGTTAATATGTGCATAGCCATGTGATATTGTGTAGTCATTACAGCTGATTTTACATGGAAGCCTTCTGAAATTCTACCCCAGCAGTTTTTCCTTCCATCACCACTACAACAGTATCACCGCTAGAGTTGTACTCTTGCACACTTTTTGTTCTCTGAGCGCAGTTATCAAAGATTAATTTGACATGGATGTTGGAACATCAAGGTGTGTTTCAAGACCTGTTGGGATGCTTAGTTCGGGGTTTTTCTAACTATGTACATAGAGGATGTTTTTGTTTATGGCATATGATTCTGTTTGCTTCATCCTTCTTCTGAAGCTTATGGCCTTGCACTCTGCTGGCTTGATTCTGCATGTTTTAAAAAAGTCTTGTCATTCTAACTCAATTAGATGAGCTCTGTTCTAGGTCTGTCGTTCTGTACCTCCCAAAGCAGATGACTAGTTATAAAAGCCTGAATCAGACAGCTTTCATTTGAATCACCTGGTCACCTCTTAGTTCATGAGCTAACTGAAATAAAGATATGAAAGTATAGGTTGAAGAAAAAGAAATTACATCTCCTGGTGATCAGTATTACTTTAGTAATAATCATCGAGATTACTTATTATTACTCTTTTGTTAGGTCTGGCTGTTTTTAGGTTACTTTTTTCACAAGATCTCTTAAGCAGTGGCCCGAGGATGATGGAAGATAACTAAAGTTACTGTTCTGATTTCTTTCAGATTTCGGCCTATTAAAGGAAGACAAGAAGAACTAAAGGAAGTAATTGAACGTTTCAAGAAAGATGAGCACTTGGAGAAAGCCTTCAAGTGTCTGACTTCAGGGGAGTGGGCTCGGCACTATTTCCTCAGCAAGAGCAAAGCGCAGGAGAAGTTATTCAAGGAACATGTGGGTTCAGTGACCAAATTAAGACTGTTGATCTGTTTGGATGAGAGTAAAGGAAACTAAAGCCTAAATTTTAGGGAACACTGAAATTTTAAATCAGATTTTCATAAAACTAATCAATATATGCAGACCTAATAACACATCAGATAACTTGTATGACTATATCCATAGAGAAAACTCTGTCATCCAGAAAGGAAACTTAACTGTGAACTTTGAGAGTAACGTAGCCAAGTCACCAGGTACACAAGTATGGGAAATTTTAAAATAACAAAATTTGTTACTTAATCTTAAATTTTTTCATTGTTGGTGGTGGTTTGCTTTTATAATTCTGAGGAAGTCTAGCAAGATAAATAATGTAAAGTAGGTATCAATTTTTTTTTTCTGTTTTAGGTATTTATTTACTTGCGAATGTTTGCAACCGACAGTGGATTTGAAATATTGCCTTGTAATAGATATTCATCGGAACAAAATGGAGCCAAAATTGTTGCAACAAAAGAGTGGTAACTATTATACTAGCATAAACCCGTAAAGTAATTTTGTTTAAAGTTCTCTCTTAAATTACTGTTCATGTGCTAAGAAAGTTGTAGGAAGGAATAAGGCCAGAGCTTACCCTAAAGGAGCCAGTGCAGTGCCAGTGCCTCAGCCCAGTGACTACTGGGGTCAGGACAGTGAAATTAGAAGTCTGAGTTGGGGACTTCCCTGGAGGTCCAGTGGTTAAGACTTCGCCTTCCAATGCAGGGGGTGCGTGTTCGATCCCTGGTTGGGGGGCTAAGATCCCACCTGCCTCGAGGCCAAGAAACCAAACATAAAACAGAAGCAGTATTGCAACAAATTCAATAAAGACTTAAAAAAAATTTTTTTATAAAAAAAAAAAAAGAAGTCTGAGTTGAACCAGATCCTATCTCTAAGCCAGAATGCTTTGTGTTTTCCTTTCATTGAGTCTGGATGCCTGCTCAAGGACTACTGAAAGGTTAGGGATGCTGGGGTTGAATAACCTGGCTTCCAGAGTCAGTTTTTTACTGGCCTATAAGAAAGGTTATGTAGGAATTTTGTGCATAGAAGCTTCCTAGCACAATGCCTGCTTCAAAATATATATGTGTGCCAGCTTAAATAAAAGTAGTAAAGTTGAGCCCAGCTATGAGGGATAAAAGCCGTACATGAAAGAGAGAATACGTGATTATATCTTTCCTCTAATTCCTATTCCCTGCCTTATCTCCCAGAAGAAATATGTAACCCCTCTCTTACACCACCCCCAGTATTTTTTTTTTTTTTTTTTTTTTTTTTTTTTTT